AACAACAACAGCAGCAGCAGCAGCAAGCCCCTGGATTCGCGATACCTGTGCACCAGGAGGAAAGTGTTGATGGAGGCCTTGGTATTATGGATAACAATGAGCTCGAGCACGGTCGATGGCAACGGTTGCAGCTGCTAGTTCAACATGAGCTACAGTTGGCAGCGCAACAAAGGCACGAGCGACAACAAAGATGGGAGCAGCTGACCGTTCAAGAGAAGCAACAGAAGCAACAACAACAAAGGATGCTGCAGCAGCAGCAGCAGCAGCAGCAGCAGCAACAACAACAACAACAACAGCAACAACAACAACAACAACAACAGCAACAACAACAACAACAACAACAGCAGCAGCAGCAGCAGCAGCAGCAGCAGCAGCAGCAGCAAAAACAGAAGCGTTATTCCTGCCAAAGGTGCTCTCGCAGCTTCGACACGAAGCGTGCATTGCAGAACCATGTAATGCGGCACGAGGGACTCTTACCGTATGGCTGCGAGGCCTGTACTAAATCCTTTCCCGACCTCTCTGCGCTGAACCTGCACAGAAAAACGCACGGTCTCGACCCATTGTTGCCGCTCACTGTGTGCACGATTTGCCCCCGCCACCGCGATTGCCGCACTGCTAGTGGCTTGGCATCACACATCCGAAAAGCACACGACAACAAGGTGGATCTTGCTCGCCAAAAAGTCCAGTACGTTCAACAGCAGCAGCGCCAGTTGCTGCAAGATCAAGAAAGAGCACTGACCGCACAACAACTCTTCCAACAGCAACAGCTCCGTGAGCAGGAACGGCGGCAGATTCTCCACGTACAACAGCAACAGCAACAAGGGCTGCAGTCACCACAACCACAGCAACAAGGGCTACAACAAGGGCTGCAGTCACCACAACCACAGCAACAAGGCCTACAACAAGGGCTGCAGTCACCACAACCACAGCAACAAGGCCTACAACAAGGGCTGCAGTCACCACAACCACAGCAACAACAACAACCACAACAACCACAACAACAGCAACAACAACCACAACAACCACAACAACAACAGCAACAACAACAACAACAACAACAACAACAGCAACAACAACAACCACAACAACAGCAACAACAACCACAACAACCACAACAACAACAGCAACCACAACAACAACAGCAACAACAACAACAGTCGCCAAGCCTGTGCATGGTCGACGTAACCAATCCATCCAAGCGCTCGAAGACGAACGACAACCAACCCCCACCTGTTTCATGCGACATGACTCCAGCCATTGCAGCCGCGCCACAACCTGGTTCGTTGCCAGTGCTCTCGTGTGCTCTGTATATTGCGTGCGTGTGTGTGTGTGTGTGTACATGTGCGCGTGCGTCTTGTCGTCTGTACACTTACATGTGAGCTCGCAACCATACACACACTCTCTCCCTGCTTCGCATGCATACCATCACTCATACTCACACACACTCACACACTCTCTCACACACACTCACACACACACACTCACACACTCGCATGCTCACACTCACACACACACACACACTCACACACACACTCACACTCACACTCACACACACACACTCTCTCTCTCTCTTTGTCTGCTTCGCATTCACATCATCACTTACACACATACATGCACACGCTCACACACACACATGCACGCGCTCACGCTCACACACTCTCTCACACACACACTCACTCACTCACACACTCGCACGCACACACTCGCACGCACACACTCGCACGCACACACTCGCACGCACACACACTCACGCACTCACACACTCGCATGCACACACACACACTCTCTCTCTCTTTTGCTTCGCATTCATACCATCACTCATACACACACATACACACACACATGCACGCGCTCACGCTCACACACTCTCTCTCACACACTCTCACACACTCTCTCTCTTTGTCTGCTTCGCATTCACATCATCACTTACACACATACATGCACACGCTCACACACACGGACACACGCTCTCCTTCGCATTCACACACGCACACACACACGCGCGCGCTCATACTCACGCCCACGCACGCACGCACGCACACGGACACGCGCTCTCCTTCGCATTCACATCATGGCTCACTCTCTCGCGCGCATGCACATACACACATACACGCTCTCTCTTCCTGCTTCGTATTCACATCTTCACTTACACACATACATGCACACACGCACGCACGCACGCACGCACACGCACGCACGCACACGCACACGCGCACGCGCACGCACACCATCTCACTGTGTCCTCGGTTATGCTTGCGCTTGCACACCCGACCACAGGCGACGGAAGGAGACGGCGGCTGCAACCTCTCAGGCTCAATCTGGAGCGTCCACCGGAACGCACGCCTTCAGATGAAAGCGGTAACACTCTTGGTGTCCTCGTGCTTGTGCGTGCACACTACTCCGCTAGGGCATCACACTCACGTACTGCCACCTGTGGTGTATTGAACAGACGACCTGCCCGTTGCACTCAGCCACCCAAGCGAGTGAACGCCAGGCTACCAGACGAGGTGAGATGGTGCCCGATGGTGGGAGTGGTGCGTGTGCAAGTGCATGCGACCTGCGCCCTCACCACGCTCACTGCGCTCGTTTCCTGCTATGCTTCTCCTTTTTGCATGTCATATACACGCGTGTGTGCTGCGCAGTGTGCTGCGGGTTTGAGATGCGTGCCTTCGGTGGTCTGGGAGTGTCGCCTGTGTTGCCATGGCTGCCTTCATAGACGTGTGCTTGATTCGACCTGCTGTTGGCGAGCTGCAGCTCTTCACCAATAAATGACACTGTTGGAGACAGTTCCGCATGAAAAGCGGGTGTGTGTATGGGGTACTCGAGGGGGCATTTGAAAGGGGACATGCACTGGTGGAGGTCGGTGAGGGACACCTATGGATCAGGCCCTTGTTTCGTGAGCGCTGCCGCACTGCTTCCAGTGCGCGAATGGGCGACTTTTCGTCGTTTCTTTGGCTCATAATGCATCGAATGGACAGTAATGCGTGCGTCCGAGACGCTGCCGTGCATTTGTACTTGTTCTGGGCATGGAATTACACCACAGGGACGCGCGCCAGTGCGTTTGCGACAAATGAGATGGGTACATGTGCACAAGCACACACATTATTATAATTATGAGCAAAGTGTCTATGTAAACCACAATAAATACACGTTGGCCTTTTGACTTGGTGTAAATGCATGTCAAAACCTCAAATCAAGTATTAAGGCCAGAGAGAGGCAACCTGCGGCATAATTCAATGCGAGGACGCCTCGTAAGGCCCACCATAGGCGTTGTACAGCAGGGCGACGCTCTGATACAACACAGGGTCTGGAAAGGGTGTGGTTGGGTCCAAATCCACCCCTCACAACTCTGGGCATAACTCAAGAAATAATGGGAGTATGGAAATGAAACTTATATCGTCTGAAAGAGCGTTGAGCAGTGACTAAGTACTGTGGTTTATTTGCGTATTGACCTCGGTACAGCTCGAGGGCAAGCCGGGTATTAAGACATGGCACACCAGTGCCGCTCAGAAACCACGAAAAGTGCCTTGCAACATTCGGTGTTCTTCGGTGCAAACTGGCAAATTTGAATCTCTCGCGGCAAATGAATCCTTGCACCTCGTCACACTTCGCCACGAAGTGGGTCAATGAGTAGCGGGTAGATTTCTCTCGGTTAGGCGTAGATTTCGGGCCGGCTGGTGTGGGTGTGTGTGTGTGTGTGTGTGTTTGTGTGCGTTTTCCACTCCCCCTCTCTCTTTTCTCTCCCTCTCTCCCTCTCTACATGTTGGATCGTTTAAGAGAGAAGAGCAACATCGCAGATCAACATCACAGATAACAACGACGCAACGCGTACAACGCCGCAATGTCACTTTAACAAGGACAACATAAAGAGATCAAAACAAGAAGCAAAATAACACATGGCAAAGCAGATGACTTCAAATTAACAACACATGCATAAACGGAACGTCACACGAGCGTGCGCGTACGCGTTGGAATGCGAGAGTGCCGCGTGGTGGTGGTGGTTGCGGTTGGTGAGGCAGTCACACCTGCACTCCGTGTCTTGAGTGCAGGTGCTGATCGGCGCACCTTGCACATCTTCCTCCCACACGCGGACGTGGTCGCAAGCGGCAGCAGCGATGACGATGACGGGGGCGTGTTGCTGCTGACTGCAGCAGCAGTTGGAGTGGTAGTTGAAGTTGTCATAGGAGTGGGTGTCGTGTCAGTGGTTGTGGGTTGCTGGCGTGATGAAGCAGACGTGGACAGTGGGTCTGCGACCACCATGGATGCGGCCAGCGAAGGCGGTGACGAGGCGGTCGATGTGATGGCAACAGGAACACGTGCGCGTCGCGCGTGCGAGAGCTCACGCAATGGTGACCGCTGCGTCCGCTGCGGCGACAGCGACAGCGACGGTGAAGTGATGATAGTGGTGGCGATGGTTGCGGTGGTCGTAGTCGTGGTCGGCGTCACCGTAGCTGGTGGTGGCGGTGCTGTGGGTTCTGCTGTGCGCGGGCGACGGACAGAGCCAGCGAGTGCGCTGTCGGCGCTCACGGGAGCGGTCGTGGTTGCAGCAACAGCTGATGCCGTTGTTGCGGCTGTTGATGCCGCCATCTTACGGGGCGACACCGGCAGGCTGGACGACACCACACCCTTCTTCTTCCCCCTCCTGGTGCTGCTGTTCCTGTTGCTGCTGGTGGCAATGTCTGTCTTGGATGATGCGAGCGAGGGCGGTGTGGAGAGTGGAGCTGCGTGCGATGCTGACGCGGGTGTCGGCGTTTCGGCGTCATGCGGCCGTGGCTTTCGTGACTGCAACCGTGATTGCGATCGTGACCGTGTCGGTGTTGGTCCGCTGCCAGCCTTTACCGACTTCTCGCGCCTCACTGCACTCTTCTTCAACGTCGCCATTGCACTCGATGCACTGGGCGCTGCGTCGCCTGTGCTCGTCTGTCTCTTCACCGCCGACTTCTTCGTGCGCCGCGCCCGTGCTCCTCTCGTCTGCCGTGCTGTTGTCGCTGCTGCTGCTGCTGCTGCTGTTGATTGCTTGCGCGTTGCAAGGCGTGTTGAGCTGCACACGTCGCCGTCGCACACCATAGAATCAGCAGCGGTGCGCGCACTCCCTCCGTTGTCGTCGTCGTCGTAGCACTCATTCTCATCATCATCGTCATCCACAACAACATCAGCCACAGGCCTGGCGGCGACGTCCTCATCCTGACGCTCATCACCACGCTGCTGCTGCTGCTGGTGCTGCTGGTGCTGCTGGTGCTGCTGCTGTGTAGACGTGTCATCTTCACTGTCAACACGGCTTCCATCATCAGCATCATCATCATCATCAGCAGCAGCAGCAGCATCGCACGTGTCGTCCTGTTCGCCACTGCTGCTGCTGTTGTTGTTGTTGCCATGGTGGTGCTCTTGATGTTGATGATCAGCGGCTCGCAACAACGACGACGACGACGATGACGACGACGACAACGGCGACGACGACGATGACGATGACGATGCTGCAATCGAGCAATCGTGCTCCTGTTGTTGCTGCTGTTCGCTGTCTCCTGTCATGGTGCATGTGCTACTGCTTCCGTCCTGTTGTTGGTCCTCCTTCCGTTCTCCCTCCTGACCATCTTCCTCCGCGTCGCCCTGCACGTGTACCTCCGCCCTCTTCTGCATCTGCTGTGACGCGGTGATGGCTTCTGGTACGTTCCCTCGCACTTGCTCCTCTTCGGTGTTCGTGCCCTCCCCTCCGTCCTTCGTCGCCGCCGTCGCCACATCACCCGATTTCATCACATTCAGCACATCTGCATTCTCGCCACCACCATCGGCACCACCATCAGCATCACACCGCTGTTCCTCCACCTCCTCCTCTCCGTGCACGAGTGCATCTGGCGCGATGAACGCGTGTGTCAGCAGCTGTTCGCTCGTCCACCGCTGCCCCACGTCCCGCACCAGACACCGTCCAGCAAAGTCGCGCGCGGCGCCCGTGATGTGCGGCGGGACACGCGGCGTGGCGCTCCGTGACGCAATCATGAACATGAGTGCGTAATGGTTGGGCAGGTTTGCCTCGGCCCAGGGCTTGCGGCCAGACCACAGTTCAATGAGACAGCATCCGAGCGACCAGCAGTCACTGCGCCGTGACACACGCTCCCCAACAATCACCTGAGATTGGGAGAGGGGGGGGGAGGCCCAAGGATGAAGACGTGAGTGGATGTGTGTGTGTGTGTGTGTGTGTGTGTGTGTGTGGATGTGTGTGTGTGTGTGTGTGTGTGTGTGTGTGTGTGTGTGTGTGTGTGTGTGTGTGTGTGTTTGTGTCGTTTGGTGGCGGCGTGTACGCAATGAAACAAACACGCGTATCATCACCCACCCCACACCAACATCACCACCACCACCGCCCCGCTTCTCCTCACCTCTGGCGCCATCCATGCCGGGGTGCCCACGCTGCCCTGCAGTTCGTTGGTCTGCGTGGACATGTCTGCCAGCGTGGCGGACAGCCCAAAGTCGCACACCTTCACCCGGTTTCGCCCCGTCAGCAGCAGGTTCGCGCCTGACGATGACAGCAAGCAGAACAGTGGCATGGTGATGGTGCAGTGATGATGGTGGTGGTGGTGGTGGTGGTGGTGGTGTGAGGCGAGAAGGTGGTTGAAGACCGCGCGCAAACATTGAATTACGGAGAGGCATGAAGGAACAGCTTCAAAGAGCACACACATTCCGCACGAGACGAGGATGTACAATACAAGTTTAAAGGCCACACAAACACAGACGCACACAGACACACACACGCACACATAGACACAGACACACACACACACACGTACACAGACACACAGACGCACAGTACATACCTTTGAGGTCTCTGTGTGCGATGCCGCGGGAGTGGAGGAAGGCGAGCCCCTTTGTTGCGTCACGCGCGTACGATCTTACATCATGCGCGTGCAGGGCGCCCTCGGCGGCAACCTTGTCCGCCAAACTGCCGCCAGGAAGCAGCTCCATCGCAATCGCAAATGCAGCAGCACTCTGGTTGCACCCAAAATACGACACAACATGCGCATGCCGCGGCAGCCTGTGTGTGTGTGTGTATGTGTGTGTGTGTGGTGTGTGTGTGTGTGCGAGGATATGAATGTGTGTTTGGATAACGAACAAACAATTTGAGGAAGCATCATCAGCGTTGCGACAGCTGAAAAGTAGCGCGGTACCTGCGCATGATGTCGACCTCCGTGTGCAGCCGCTTCACGTCGTCAACTTTCGCCAGCCCAACATCAACCTGCAACAGACAAAATCAGAAGAATGGGCGTTTGTGCGTGTATGTGTGTTTGTCGAGGGAGATGAGTGAATTGGGGTGCGTTGCGTGGGAAACAAAGCAAGCAACCGACAGCAGAGCACACCAGAAACAATGCACACACACACACACATACAGCCCGCTGCACGAGCTACACTTTCGCTGCACCTGCTTGACGGCGAATGGGGCGCCTGTGCGAATGCAGCGTGCGCGGTGCACGGTGCCAACAGCGCCTTTGCCGAGCACACAGTCCGATATCCACAGCTCCCCGCCGTTGGTCACGCACAGCTCACACGCGCAGCACACCGCAGCACACGATGATGGTGACGACGATGGGCGACGCGACGCTGTCGTTGCCGTTGCCGGTGTCGTTGTCGTGGTGCTGCTGGTGTTGCTGGTTGTGGAAACGCTCGTCACGGTGCTGGTGGCGTCCGCGTCTGTATCGGACGAAAGCTCCGCCTCCGTGTCCGTGTTTGAGGTGTCGCCGCCATCATCACGAATGGCGGTGTCACGGGCATCGACACGTGCGTGTGTGCACCCGCTGCACTCGCACGCCGGGATGACAAGCTCGCTTCCCCGCGCACCGCCGCCACCAACACCGACGCCGCCAAACCACACCCGCCCCTGCCCCACACGCAGGTACTGCTGTTGCTGTTGCTGTGGTTGCTGCTGCTGTGGTTGTTGCTGTTGCCGCCGCTGGGCGTGTGGATGCACGGCGTGTTTCACGCCTGGTTCCTTTATGGTCGTGGTCGTGGAGGCGTTCGAGAGGTCAGCGTGTGCGTGTGCATGTGCGTGCGCGTGGGGCGCTTGCGGCGATGGTGGGGCGAGGAGCGTGCTGGCACCTCCTGCTGCTGTTGGTGTCGTTGGTGTGAGTGGTGCAGACGATGACGCTGATGGGGAAGATGGCAGCAGCGACGACGGTGGCGAGTGGTGCACGACACCGCTGTCCACACGGGCCATCGCGTCAGCACCATCGCCGCCATCCGCGCTCCCATCATCATCGTCATCGTTGGTGTGTCTGGTGGTGGTGGTGGTGGTCGAGGCGGATGCCATTGTGGCGGGAGAGCACGAGTCATTCACCAATTCTGCGCCCTCGCCAGCGTGATCGCCATCTCCCCACCTGGACTGATGGCTGGCATGTGCCCTGTGCGCCTGCTCAGCCCACGCCTGCAGCTGCAGCGCCACCTGGTTCACCCGCGCGTGCTTGAACGCGACGCGTGCGCATATGAACGCATCCACGTCCTCCGCCGCCACGTGGGCGAACCAGTGCGGGTAGTCCTGGGTGAGCGCGTGTGCAAGCTTCACACTGCCCAGCATCCACTGCCACGACTGCGTGTCGACACTCGACGCCGTTGCCGGCGGGTGGAACAGCGCGGCCGTCACGTCGCGTGCGGTGAAGTGCGAGTTGGCCACACCCATGGACACGGCGCCGTGGCACCACTTGAGCACAAACGTGCGCGACTCGTGGCAGCGCAGCACAATGTGCGCCAGCGCCACGTGCAGGTCTGCCTTGGCGGTGGTGGGCCGCGGGGTCTGGCTCAGCAGGTGCAGGCTCGCTCGCAGCACCTTGAGCACGGGGTCACGACACGTGCGCGCGACAATGTCCAGCGCCACGCGCGTGTCAAGCGTGTCTAGGCGCTCCTTGCTCTGCGCCAGCTGCTCCAGCGTGCGCGTGCGGCGGCGCCAGTCCGATGACAGCAGACCGGATACGGTGTCTGCCCCGAGGGCTGCCAGCCAGGGACGCGCAAACGCGGGACACGCACGGGACGCGAGTGTGTTGTCCGACGTCTGCTCGCCCGTTGCCATGGCCCTGCCAGCCTGCACGGAGCGGCCGACGATGGTGGAGGGCGGGGTGCGGGCGCGCGGGAGGAGGCTGGTGGTGTGGAAGTTGTTCCAGGCAGCGCGGCAGAGCGGGCAGGAGACGGGCACGCGGTCCTGGCGCTGGTTGTCTGCCCACACGGTGAGGCAGTGCACGTGCAGCGCATGGTGGCACTCGGAACACGCCGACACGCACTCGCCCTGGGTGTGGTGGGAATTGGGGGGGGGAAAGGAATCGAGATGTGTGCGTGTGTGTGGGGGGGGGGAGGGGAGGGGTTGAGGAAGACGATCAGATAGATGGTCAGTGATGAATGGCAATGGAGGAGGACGGGGAGATGGGATGGGAGAGAAAGGAAGGAGGATAGGGGGAGAGACATACGAACGTGCACACACACACACACACACACACACACACACACACACACACAACCGCACGCACCTCGACGAGTGGCAAGAGGCAGATGGGGCAGTCCTGGTCCTCGTCGTCGTGGGGATGATGGCTGGCGGTGGTGTCATCGCTGTCGCCGCCAGCGCGCGCCGCATCCACGCGCTCCTGCCGCTGCCGTGTCCGATCTGACGTGTGTGCGCGCGTGTGCGTGCGTGTGTGTGTGTGTGTGTGTGTGTGTGTGTGTGTGGTGTGTGTGTGTGTGTGTGTGTGTGTGTGTGTGTGTGTGTGTGTGTGTGTGTGTGTGTGTGTGTGTGTGTGTGAAAGAATGGTATGGTTGAGGACGCCTGTGGTCGAGTGCGCATGAGCATGCAGGAGCAATGGAACCCAGGAGCAGACCTTGGATGAAGGTGTCAAGCACTTCGTCGAGCTCGTGATCGGTGGCGACGGGCGCGGTCACGAGGTTGTGGGTTTCATCCAACTTGAGCACCCGTAGAAGCACAAACAGGACGTGGATGCACTTCTTTTCGCCGCAGTGGGAGCATCGAAACGGTTTCAGCAGGATCTGCAAGCAGTGAAATGCAACACACGCAATGCGCACATGCACACAATGGAAAATGGGTGAACGAGTGAGACAATGCAAACACAACAAGGGGCAAGAAGATGTTGTTCAGTTGATGTGAATGCAAGCACAAAGAGAGCCCAGTGACGGTATCCATCGCACAAGAAGAGGGTATGTGCAAGATTGCGCTTCAAAACACACAAACACACTCTCTCGGTCTTCGTTCTCGTTTCAAAGTGCGCACGTACCTTGAACCGCTTTGAGTCTGAGCGGATGGTAAAGCAGCGTGGACCGTCTTGGTAGAGGAGATAGAGGGCCGCTGTCTTGGCCCGCACAATCACGCGGTCCATGACCGTGATGATGGTGGAGTGGCGGGGTGTTGGGAGTGTGATCGAAACTCGTGTGTGTGTGTGTGTGTGTGTGTGCGTGTGTGTGTGTTCGCAAACAAAAAAAGAGAGAAGAGGAAGAGGGGGAAGACAACTGGTGAGGGGGAAGAGGGAGGGGCGCGGCGAGCACTTGCGGCGCTCACAACACCCCAAATCGGAGAGCGACGACGCGAGGTGCGCACGAGCGTGTGGAGGTGGCTTCTTGGGGGTGTCACGTCACAGGGGGCGACACTTCAAACCAGTGAAAAGGAAGCCTGTGGGGTGGTGCAGTACCGAAAACTGACAAAAATGTGCTCAAAATAGAGATCTCGAAACGAGGCATCCGATGAGCCCGGTCGCAAGATCGAATCTGCGACACACATCCGACACGAAGACAATCAAGGTCGGGTGTCGAAAGATTTTCGTCAATCGCCGACTGAATCCAGTCATGAGCCGCTCTCAGCCCGACAGTGATTATGAGCCAGAGGAGGATGAGGAGGATGAGGATGAGACCGTCACCACTGTTCGTCGCAGCAAGCGTGCGAAGACCATGCCAGACTACAAGGACAGAATTGGCACGCCAAGACATGTATCAATGGACGAGATGTTGACCGATATGACTAATCTCAAGAAGAAACGAGGCCAGCCTGCGCTATTGGACCGTGAGAGATGGATGATCGTCTACTGTTACACACGTGTTCGCTACAATCGGGCACGCGACCGAGAACAACGCAAAGCAAAGGGTGGCCGTAAACCGAAGGAGGATTCCGGTCAAGAAGTGGCGGACCTGCTTGGGGTGTCTCGCTCAACTGTGAACGAGGTCATCGCGGCTTGGAACCGATGCAAGAAGTCTGGAACCTACGACATACTGGATGGCCAAGGCAGCAAGCGAGGCCAGCACACGAAGCACACGCGCATCCCCTGTACCAACGAGACTCTGCGGCTTGTGCGCGACTTTGTGACGGACCGAAGGACCGAGCACACAATCGTCACTGCAACAGAGGTTCTCGACATGCTCCGCAAGAGGGCGATTGTGAAGGTGGTAAAGGATATCGTCACGGGTGATGACGACGAGAAGGCTCTCGCCAGCGCCAAGCGTGCGACACAACGCTTCCTCGTGCGCGCCGGGTACATCAGAGGAAAGACTGGCCGTTCAGACGAAGCAGCACGCCCAAGCACCCACGTGCTCGAGTGGCTGACAAACTACCTCAAGGTTCTCCTGGATAATCGGAAGCTTCCACCAGAGCAACAGCTGCGCGAGGTAAGACCCGCTGCCGTGCGTTCTCGTTCGCCACACCATGAATGCGCGCGCACACACACACACACACACACACACACACGCACGCACGCACATACACACACACACGCACACACGTTGAAAGGCATTCACTCATGTGCGCACGCATCCGACGCCTTGTTGCTTTGTGTCTTCTGTTGTCAAGGTGTATCTTGACGAATCATACGTGAACTGCACCCACAACTTCACGACGCATTCTCTGATGCATCCCGTCCACCACGCAAACATTGGCCAAAAGAAGATTAAGGACGGCAGGCGCTACTGCTTTTGCCTCGCCATCCAGAACAGTGACCCTCGTGTGGTAGCTGGCGAAGCAGACGCATCAGATGGGTGGGCGCATCTTGCGGGTGTTGTCCCGGGTACAGAGTGGGTCTTCGATCCATCCGCTGGAGCACGCAAGGAGAAGCGGGACCAGTCCAAGCAGACCACAACCGAGACAGCTGCTGCTTCTTCAGATGCAGCATCGAAGACAGACACGCCAAAAGGCAAGCGGACCTCGAAGGGCAAGATCAGCAACCCTCACGTAGGCGACTATCACAAGGTGTTCAACAAAACCAACTTCAAGAAGTGGTGGAAGTACCAGCTTCTCCCCAACCTGAAGCAGCCCTCACTGATCATCATGGACAACGCGGCTTACCACAAGGGCTACCCACCCAAGACACCAGACCCCAACACGATGAAGAAAGCACAACTGCTCGCTTTTCTGTTGTCCCCTGATCCCAACAAGGTCACAGCGCAAGCGAGCACGCAGGCTGATGGTGGGGACGACGACGGAGACAGTGCTAGCGACCAGAGTGGCAACCACAGCTTCCTTTCTACCACATCCACAGATCCAGATGGCCTCTCTTCTCATCAGCGACAAATGGCTCGGGTTCCTTTGGCTTCCCGCGTACATCATTGCGATACGCTGAGGAGGATGGCGCGGGACTGGCTCAAGGCACACGTGAAGCCTGAGCTTGTTGCGCTGGCTGAGGAACAGGGGCACACTGTTGTGTTTACACCACCGCGCTACTCCGACTTGCAACCCATCGAACTTGTTTGGGCCTACATCAAGAACCGCATTGCCCGTCAGTATTCCAAAGGAACGAAGTTTAAGGAAGTCGGCGAGCGACTGCGAGCAGAGATCGTTGAGCTGTCGGAAGACCGTGGGCACCACAAGCGAGGAGGACGAACCCTCATTCAAGCAATCATCGACCGCACAGATCGCGCCATTGCTGAGCATTGGAAGCGGGCGTGCGCCTTTCAATCAGATGCACGGCAGCAGCAGCAGCAGCAGCAACAACAACAACAACAACAACAACAACAACAACAACAACAACAACAACAACAACAGCAGCAGCAGCAGAAGAAGAAGAAGAAGGAGCGGCTATGCTCGGTGTGCCGACAGCCCGGTCACACTCGCAGAACCTGCCCTGACAAGCTACCACAACCACAACCACAACCACAACC